ACACACACACACAACCAAGTCAATGTAAAGTCAAACACAAGAGTCATGCGAAGCGCCGATTTCTCCCGACCTTCCGATACTGCATGACGTCTGAAGCTTCAAACGTCATCAATCACGTGCTATTGTCATTTCGATACAAGCTTCGGCACAGTGTGTGATACAATAGTGCTTTGAAAACTGCATCGGAGCATCTGAGCCTCTGTATCAATCGTCCCACCACTATCTTTCCATTGTGGCACAGCATTGCCTCGAGGCAACATAAACAGCAAAACAGCTTATTCTAAACCACTAACACTATGAAAATCTCATTTGAGCGTACAAATAGATTTGACACCATTTGCATACATACTTTTGACCATTTAGTATGTCAAATATTCTCCTGAAATGTCCAGCACCTGTTGTCAATCACTATTTAAACATATAATTTTGAAAAAAAAAGTATTGGTGAAGAGAAACAGAGGGCAGACAAATAATATTCCAAACATTATAAGGAGTTTTAAAACAAACAGCATTACTTACTACATTATTTCAAACATGGTTGTAACATTTGTAAACAGTAGTACTTATGATCATCTTCATAACCACTAGATGGCAGCCTAATATTCCAAATATCGCCTCCCACAGGAAGTGAGATGGTTTTCCATTAATGTTTTTGCTGGATTGCCTTTAGAAAGACTACTTGTTTTAAAGGGCAAACAAAATAGAGCATATAAAGAAAGTAGTGCATATAACAGACAAGGACAAGGATACGAGGTGGAGTGAGGGACCTACTGATTCTGTTATATTACACAACAATTGTGGAACAATATGGTTACTTTCAAAATGTTGCATTTACAGATTATGGTGCTTGGAAGTATACATTTTAAATATGTGTTCTGCATCTACATTTGTTTAGTTGTGTTTTTTGTTTGTTTGTTTTGTTTTGCCAGTGTTGTGAGTTTGGGGCAGGACTTGATTCCAAAGCACCAAACAGCCACGGTGTTGACACGTTACAGGGACTACAACGATTTAGAAACAGCTTACTTCAAAGTAGACACACTAAATTTCAAATGGAGAAAGTCTGAAACATTGAAAAACGATGAACAAATTGCATCACTTTACAGATGATGTCACTGCATACCTAATATGCTGCAATAAACAATATTTGAACCGAGTGTACTCACATCAAACTCATTGAGAGCGGCAGCCAGCTCGCCGATGCCAGCGTGCCCGTGCTTCTCGTCGGTGGGTGAAGTGGCCTGAGCAGAGCTGGAGATGCCCCCAATGGCCTCTTGGACCTGCTTGAAGACATAGTCGCGGTTGGCACGTGTAGCAGCCACGTCGGGGTGGCGCAGGAAGGCCTGGGAAGCAGTATAGAGCATAGTGGCGTTCTTCTTAAGAGCCCCTCGAGCTGCCGCCATCTCGTCCCTGCATTGAGGGTCCTTCAGCTCCTGGCACACACATACACAGATATCTGTTTCAGACCTGTCACTTTAAGACCTAATGCACAGATCTAATATACTCATACACATCCGATTTTCTTGCTAATGTTTGTATTAATTTAAAACATAACCATCTGTGTTTTATGTGAACAGTCCGCACGCAGGGCACTTTGAAAATAACTGTGTGTGCATTTGACCATTGACCATTTTATTGTTAGATAATAGCTAGTTAAATTCTAATAGTAGTTAGATAACATAAGCAAAAACTAACTAGCTACCTAGCCAGATGGCTTACATCTACCTCAAATCAATTGTAGTCATTTGTGTACATAAAAATATAAAAGCTAAACAAATTATTAAACCCTGAATGAGTTTCTATTAAGACTGCCTATTCAATGAAAAATGTATTTAGCCTCTCCCTGGAAATAATAAAATGTTTAATTGAGTGCAATTGGTTGCCTTGTATACAGTATGTAGCATTTTTATTACTGACAAAACTTTTTTTTTGTTTATATTGAGCAGTTGATGGCATTTATTGATATCCATTTATTGTGCATACTCAGTGAGCCACGTAATATAACATTAGTATGAGTAAATATGACCACAGTAGAATGAGAAAAATAATGCATAATGCATGAATAATGTAAATGTATCCCCCTTACCTCCAAAGTGAAACAAAGAAAACGTCTCTAGGTTACGTATGTAACCATGGTTCCCCGAGGGAACGAGATCGAGTTCCTGAAGGGGAAACATTATCAATGCTACTATAGTCAGTGTAACAACATTCCGCGTTTATATTTACCGAAAATTGAGGCAAATAGAGTTGCTGCTGCTATCTGTCCCGCTTTAACCCACTCAAACAGGTTGACGGCGATATTATTGAGCGATACATGAACCACGTGACCACATGGCGGCAAGATATATATGTATACACACACACACACACACACACACACACACACAACATCCCTGGATAGTACTGTTGGTCGTTTAACATTTCTATTATGTAACAGCTGTCAATTGTTAAATGTATTACAACTAATTATTTACATTTACTGTCACTGTCAGTAACTTTTTAGTGGAAGGATAGGATTTAATCAATTTATTTCAAAAAAGTAACATCAATAACATTTTTGGTTTGGATTGTTTGGTAACCATTTTATAAAAGCAGTAAGGTACAAGCTGCCATGCTGTATTGTGAATAAGTCACAGCTGAAGGGGTTGCAGGCATTCCACTTCCCGTCGTGCCTATTAACGCCCTTCAGCCAAGACTTACACAACACATGGCCTCTTGTACCTTACTGCTTATATTATAGATAGAAAGATAGATAGATAACAATTGTGATATTTAATAATACCTGCTGTCTGCGAGCAGCAACATAGTTGAGTTTGACCATCTCTTTCCCAAACTCCTTAAAGCGATTGGCCAAGTCCTGCTCATTGGTGGCGTTCTTGACGGCTTCTAGAGCTTCTTCCACCTGTAAATCAACACGCACACACATACAAACATCCAACTGTTTAAACATCATCCATAAAATGAAAGGTAGTAGAAAAGTTCTATAAAACACTTTAACTGATGTGGTTGAGTGACAGTTAACGTTTGTAGTGCTTATTATTGGCTCTCCTGGGGCACGTATAATTCTGACAGTTTTCACTCTCCGTAATGAGACTAGCAGAAGAACAAGGAGGTGCTTTGTCCCTTGTGGGACATCTAAAAGTTTCTCAGCCTCATCCTACGCTCTAAAAGTTCACCTTTCGCAACCAGTAAGTTTCACAGATCTTAGTTTTCAAATTTGTTTAGTGATTATATAACAGAGCGGGTAAACAAAAAAGCGTTTTAAATCCCTAAACTTAAAAAAAAGAGAAGAAGAAGAATTATTTTTGTTGCCAGTGGGGAACAAAAATTGAAAGAAAACAGAATAATGCAACTAGACGCAAAGGATTATGGGTGTGAAAATTAAGGTACAAGAGCAAAAAGACTAAATTCTGCCACTCTGAAAATAGCCTTATCTACACCATAAATATAAATGCAAAATATGGAACCTAATTGATGACCAGAAGCAAGTGAATGAAGTGAATATTTGAGAATGTTATTTTTGCATTTTAATAGTCTGTTGCAAAGTTATGCCAGGAGGTTGTTGCTTAAGCAAAATGCGCTATGCACATAAACAGCAGGACTTGAGATAAAGACAGTTTCTTTGTACTATAATAAATATAACTTCCTGTGCCCTTGAAATGGGTCTCCTTGGATATCGAAACAATTGAGAGGCGGGTCTGGCTTGTTCTGACCCGGTGGACGGTGACCAGCTGTGAAGACCAGTTGCAGCGATGAAGCTTTGAAGCTTTGAACACTCAATCAAAAAAACGAAAAAGGGAAATAAAAGATGATGATGAATTCACCATGAGAGCTCTCAATGGCAACAAAAATGTGGTTAATTAATGTATATAAAAGTGTAAATGTTAAGAAGTAATAATGTTTGAAGTGGCTAGTAGAGAGTAGGGAGGTAAACACGGTAAACAAACGAATAAAATAAAATAAAATACTATTATTAAATGACAAATAAACTGTGATTAATTTCACAAATGAACTGCAACTGTGGAAAAATGGCCAGTGAGAAATGAATAAGAAGTGAACATACGATCTTGAGGTGAGCCAGGAGCCTCATGACGTCAGCCATGTCAGCCAGGATGAGGAGGCGAGTGACAGCAGAAAGGAGGGCACGGGCAGCACGGACCATGGTGCCCCGTTTCACAGAGGAGCAGGGGTCATCCGCAAACTCTGAGGAGGCCACGCGCATCGTCTCACCTACACAGAGACACAAAACAACCAAGACAAAAGCAAACAACATATGTTTAGAGTTCCAGCACACAGCAAATCCCTTGTGCATGTCTAGCATTTTTAATTCGGAACTCACTAAAGCTGCATGGACATGTCAATAGTTTATTAATAGCTGTGCATCTGTTTACCAGTGAAATAAACTGCGAGTACAGGCAAGTTTGCCTAGAGTGTTAATTAGTGAAACAGCACACTTCAGAAACCAGTGTACAGGGGGTTGCTGGTGTCTGGAAAACATTGTGCCAGTTTTATGTCAAACACTCACTGAAATACAGTTAAGTCCATTTTCCAATTCTAACTTTTTTTAGAACTTTAACAACAAAACCAGAAATCAATATGCAGAAAATAAAGTCTAGAATAAAAAAGCCATTTGTAGACTGGTACAGGAGTGATGTAAGCAGCGTTTTAATACCCTTTCATTTTGATTGACAGTATTAGATGACCATGCACCTCCTGAACTTTTATGTATTCAAAAGTAGCACTTTCTATGTATTTATGTGTTACACTTATGAGAAAAAAGCCTGATTCAGACTTTCAGAATGTTACTGTGGCATGCTTGCTGAAGTAAAAATTAGCAATTTGTCTCAAGGTTCATTGACAGAATCTATTAATGACCCTACAGTAGTGGACTCCATCTGAACAGGAGCCGCAGGCGGGACAGAGTTGATTAATGAAAGCTTACAAAAAGCCTGGCTGAGACATTAGCAAATGTCATTGAATCTGAGAATGATATACAGAGAAGAAAGATTGTGGCAAACTGACTTCCCAGAGTCTAGGGAAAGAGAGAATATTTGTTTTTAAGCCTGTACCGGCTCTGTGTGGGTGAACACTTGTGTGCACATAATAAATATGGCTGCACTTTAGTGTATGTGCGTGTTCTGCTGTTTCTCTCACAGTGAACTGAAACGACAGAATGCCAGCTATTCTTAACAGTCTCGCTGCTGCCCCTCTACTTCCAGGGGAAATGTCAGCACTGTCCTCTGGCTCTGTGCATTGTTGTGGCAGCTCTACCTTCACGGATTACCACAGAATGTTATAATCTTATTTCCATCCTAGCTCTTTTTTTTTTT